CCCATGCAAACCCAGCTGTTCACCCCAGGCAACACGGTTCAAACGCCTTGTGACAGGCAGCACCCAGCATGAACCTTTGCATCCAGACTTTCACACCATGACCTCTGAGCCATGTTTAGACTCATCTGCAAACACATGAAAGCCAAGATTCAAACGAGCCTTTTCTGGGCCTCTTCTATAGTGAAATCAGCAATTTTTATGGTGTGAGGCTATGTGAAGGAGCAGTGTCCTTCCAGCTTGGAGTAGAGCTGCCTACTGCGCAGAGAGTATCTCCTCCTACAAGGCTTGGGCAAGTGAACCCGTCTGTACTGCAGAGCCCTGGCCTACCAGAGCACACGTCAAACTCCATATTATCCATCTGCTCCAGCGAAGGCTGAGCTGAAATATTAATTAGGAGATCTGATCCCTTCTCACCACGAACAATCTGGATTTTATAGCTCAGCCAGAGGCCAGCAGAGCAGACAAAGCTCTGCGATACATCTTTTGCTGCTGGTTAACAGCTTTCAAGGAAACAACTGACTTGGGGGGAGGACACAGACTGTAAAACACGTGGACATCTGGTCTGTTATGTCCATCTTTCACATCCCCCCGCACTCAGCTCCCCCTCTAAACGCAGGCTCAGAGCAGAAAGTAAAGACTCCTCTGACATAAACAGCTATAATATGGCAATAAAGATTAATGAGTAAGACTTGCCATTTTATGTACAATCCATGGGGATTTACAATCATTAATCTTTATTAGTGGGTAATAACTGTTCAGATATTAAGGACAGATTCTCAGCTGGACAAAACTGGCCTTATTCCAGCCCAGCCAATGGAGCTATGCCAGTGTACACCATGCCTGACCCTTGCACTAAACGAGACCCATCCCCATTTGCAGGAATCGTATCGCTAGCAGTATTTCCCCAACAGCAGGGGCAGACCAGGGAAGGCAACTATTTGTCTTTCTCTGCATCCGAAAAAGCGAGCTGCATGTGTCCAGGAAGCTCAACAATAGACATGTCAATAAACATGAGGAAATTCAATGAAAAAGCAACAGCAACAAAAGGAACCCCAAGGAGCAGGGAAGTGGATGATTTTTGAGGCAAGACTCTAAGATCTGGTTTGGCAGGAGCATAGCTAAGAGGGATGTAGCAATCTTTGGCATGTGAAAGAGTGAAAGCACCAAGACGGGCTCCGAGAGTTCCCCTAAGAGGAACAAGATGGAAGAGAGAAAAAAAAAAAGAGCATCTTGGCTGGCTTTTCTGAGAGAGGAGTTTGGGGTTTGCTTTTAATAAAAAAGAGGTCTATTAAACAAGGGAGCTGGTGGGAACCTTGTCTGAACTACATCGGACCAGCCACTAATGCAATCTTGCATCGGCAGAGCCAGATTTCCTCTTCCAAACTATCTAGGAAACGATGGAGATGTGCAGGTAGATTCTTGCTTGCTGCCAACAGGGAGAAATCCTGGCTATGGGCACGTGTTCCCATATTCCCATGGACATCTCTGTGCTTTGCCTCTGCACCAAGACCAAGAGCTTTATCCTAACAACCCTCTCGCCTTCTGCTCAAAACTCAGATAATGTCGCAAGCATCACAAGGTACCCAGTGCCAAAGGGGACACTGTAGTGAGGCTGGGTGAGGAAAGCCCTGGTGAGGGCAAGGGGGTGGGCAGAGGCACTCACCAGGCTCATGATCACATCCCTCCACAGCTGCCAAAGAAATGGGAACTCAAGTGCTTTTTTTTTTTTTTTAAAGAGCTATTTTTGAGTAGTGGCCCACCAACCGCCTCCCCCTTTTTCCAGGATGGGCCAGCTACCTCCAGAAATGGTGGTCCCACCTCTCTAACACATCAGAAATGTCTCCTTTCTAGCCAATGAACACAGCAGAAGTCAGGAAAAAGGCAGAAATACAGTACATAGATATCTGTGTAAAGTTCTGTACATCCGGAAAATCTCCAGAAGAGATGGGCATGTCACCCACCACAGCAGCACGAACCTGGCATGTAGAAACAGTAACCAACAAATGCCCTCCAACTTCTCTTTCAAGTTTAAGGGACCTGTGAGGAGCCCAGAAAACAGCTTTCCTATAGCCAGTCTACCGGCTACAGCTCAAGAGCACAAGCTAGCGATGGCAAGGCTTCGAGAGTCCAGGGACATCGGGAGACATGAGGCATTTGCGCTGGCTCCCCTCCAGGAATAAGGCGAAGAAGAGAGGACGAGCATCGCTGCTCTGTAGTGCCACTGTGAGGATGGAGCTGGGCCTCCTGCATGTGGCTTGGTAACCCCTGCCCGGGGCACAGCGGAGGGGTCCCTGCAAACACCTCACTGTGCCGGCATTAATTCACGTGGCCCATCGAGGCCACAGCTCTGTGTTGAGCTCTGAGCAGAGGTTTCAACTGGATGAAAGAGAAAAGAAACAGATCCTACTCTTGCAGCCCAGCCTGTTTTCAGAGCTGTCAAGGACACGAGATCCTGCCTCTCCACCAGCGTGGAGGCCACCCATTCAGGTGTCTAGGAAAAACTCTGGGTGGGTACAAGCTTTGTGCTCATATTCATCTTAAGGATGCCAAGATGGAGACAGCCCCTACCTTTCTCTCCTGCCGTTACTATCTTTTGCCATGGTGATCGCTTGGATCACTTTTCTCAGTCATGCTGGTCACACAGATTCACATTTGGTGCTGACGTAAATGACTTTTAAAGGAACAAAGTTGTGGAGAATCGGCAGGGAAGGGAAGTTATTTCTTGCATGCCCCATTGTAATGTCATTAAAACAAAGGGATTAGCCGACCCAAGCACTGCAAGAGCAAAAAGCATAAAAGCAAAGCACTCAGCATGTAGTGTTGAGGCACGCAGGAATCATTTTAGAGGGTGACTAGCTGCAGACAACACTGACATTAATTTTCTATTGGAAAACGCTGGTGACATTAATATCTGCTATTAATACTGAACTTTGACAGTATCACATAAATTCAACCTGCCAATTAGAATGGCACTGAAATAAAGGTGCTCTGAGGTCAAGGAGATGTGGTGTCCAAATGAGACTTATATTCCAGGAGAAAAGCAGCAAAAACAATCTTTAACGAAAAGCATCAGATCCATATGTAGGAAAACCAAAGGGTGGTTTTAAATGTCATGTTTTTCAAAGCGAGAATTGGTGCTGGAACCAACTCTCTAAAGTGGCTGGCCGGACTCTGCGCTGCAGCTGAGGACAATCAATCAGAACAGCTCTGCGACTACGAGAAAGCGGGCGAGAGGAAACACACGCACGCACCACGGAACAGGGGAGGGCAGGTTATGAGCTGTGCTAGGCCTTTTAAAATTACACCGAGAAGTAAAACATGCTTGGGCTTCACCCACAACAACGCGTAACCTGAAAGGTTCCCCTCAACGGTGAGTGGAGTATGGAGCTTCTCATTACCGTGGGCCGGGCTGGCTCATACAGCCCAGGCTGAGCAATGGGGAACCTTGTCTCCCAAAACCCACAGGGCCAGTGAACTCATGGCGGCGTGCAAACGCTCCATAGGCCAGCTCCCGTCAGCCCTTCTCCAACCGCCCTGCTTTGCAGCTGCGGGGGACAAGATCAGCGAATCCCCGCGAGCAATACCTACGAGCAGCTCTACGTGGGGCCGTGCAGCAGTGCCTAGAGTGCCCAGCACCGCTTTGGGGACCCCTGCTCTAACACCGTCCTCCCCATCAACCTTACAAGGGCACCTCTTCCCCAACAGATGCTCCAGCTAGCCTAGGAGCCCGGTCTGCACTCCCAGCGTGCTGGCCCCGCTGTCCCGGGAGAGGAAGAGCTAGACCCCAAGGTTACATCCCACTGAACTTCCACATTGCTGAGCCAGGCATGTGTCTGGTCAGGATTTGGCCCTGAGGGTCTGCATTTAGAGGCTCCTACAGGCCAACACGGGCTTTGCAAAGAGCTTTTTTCAGAGCCTCAATGCATTTCTGCCTATTTCCAGCAGGACAACCAGGGGGTTCTCCTGCAAACCCTTCTCCTCACCCCGACTTTCTCCAAGAATTTTTCTTCCCCTATTATGGAAAAGACACAGAGGGAGTCTGAGCAGCAGGTTGTAGGGGAAAGTCTCCAGCAACGGAAACCAGGAGCGAGGGGAAGGGGGCTGTCGCTGCGACCGTAGCGCGAATCTTCCAGCTGGCAGGAGTCCACCAGCTCCACCTTTCCAACCAGCCACCTTACAGCTACCGGCCGCGAGCCCCGACGGGGCGGCCGCGGTGGACGGGGAAGCGACGGGCCGC